ACTTAATTTAAGTTCCTTAACAGGTGGAGATAGTGTTTAGAGTCAAGGGCTTACGGTTCCCGGAGGTTGAACAGTAGCTTCGTAGGCCCTACCGCCGGAAACCCAGGTTATGATCAAGTAATATCCCACAATTTCAGCAGGAGTGTTTCGTAATAGGCCTACCTAGGGGTTTAGGACCATGCGCTTAAGCCCGGCCTTAAGCGGAGAGTAGGCTTTTGAGTGCTTTTTTTCAGGTTCCATAGTTTGCAGAACGCTTGGGATTGAACGTATTACGAGGGAGGTCCTCCCTGTGGAGCCTAATCCCTTAAGGATTTCAGGTTTAGGGAGTTTAGTCGAGGGGTTTATGTTTATACTTTAGGGAGGCAGTTTTTTAGTTTCAGCTCTGCTGCACTGTCTTGTATTTTTTCCGAATATCAGAAAAGCAATCCACCCGAGACCCCCTCATACCCAACCATGCAAACCCTAAACCCTTGAACCCGACACGCAACTAGCCTGAACTCACAGTTCACATGGAACCATAGAGGCTAGGCTCTATGGCATTCCATGCCAGTTTGAAAGGGTTCCAATCCCTGAAGCCCCAAGCCCTACACCCTAAAATCCCCAATCCTGAACCCTAGAGCCCTCGAGCATAGAACCCTGCTGCCCAACTAGAAACTCTCATTTGCATGAACCCCTCCAAACCCTAAACCGCTAAACGTCCAAAGCCTGCAAGAAGGCAAAAGTAGCAGAGGCTGAGGCAACGGTCGAGGACCCAGCCATTGAGGGCGCTGCGGAGGAGGAGCTGAGGGCAATCAATTCGTGTTAGAGATTTGGGGTTTAGGGTTTACCTGGAACCTGCAATGTAGTTCTTTTTGGGTTTGTTGTGGTTTTTGGGTTAGGACTCTTATTAGGACTACCAAAAAGGTACTACATTGGAGGGTCTAGGTAGGGCTTAGTGTGTGGGTTTTGGGGTTTTGGGCTTTGATGCTAAGGGCTTGGAAATCAGGATGGTGTCAGGGTTTACGGCTTCCGGTTTGGGTTTGGGCATCGTTGTTTAGGAGGGTCTAGCCCTGCCACCCGCCCGCCCACCAACCCATCCATTCATCCATCCATCCATCCATGTGTCCATGTGTGGGGTGACGATTCATTATCGGGGGGTGGGCGGAGGGTTGTGTCATTGAGGGGAGGCGATGAGTGGAGAAATATGTGGAGATCGCAACACTTTGGGCTGGAGAGGCTTGGGATTCAACAGCTTCGGGTCTAGGAGCTAAGGGGTTCCGAGTCTGCCTCGACCCTATGGAACTGCCCTTTTGGGTCCTCCATGTTTCTTTTATGCATCCAGAAAAGGATGCCTTCTGTTGGGTCCAGGTAGGGCTTTTTGGATTTGAGCTTTTCTGACTTGAGAGCACAGGCCTGCACCAACAAAGCCGCTAAAGGGCTTTAGGGTGGGGTGGGCCGCTTGCATCATTTCATAGAGTGTTGTGTGAAGGGGTTCATGAACATCGACTTCTGACGGCAATTCAGCCTTAAAATCTAAAATCACAAGTTCTACGATCTAAGTAGGTTGAGGAGTTGGCAGGGATCACGTTACGTTTGGGGAGCATATAGGTAGATGCTGGAGGAGAGTGTGGACATGAAATCCCAAAGCCGACCATCCTTTTACCTGCCCTCTCCTATCCCGAACCTTATATTTACTGGCGGTCAGTAGGGAACACGGGAATATTTTTCATAGAGATTTAAACGATTAAACTATATTTCCTTATTCCCTGTGAACCACCTGTGAGTAACCCCTACTCCCTAAACCCTAAACTCAGCAACAGGAGCCCACGGCGGCTGAGTCGGAAGAAGAGCTGGAGGCCGCCGCTGAGGACGCTGGACCACCTAACTCTTCGGAGGTCAGTTTAGTAGGGAACAAGGGAATATGATCCCCATATGAGCTATCGTCTAAACTCCTTAAAGGGGGGGTTATATAGGGGATTCTATAGGGGAGTCTTACAGGGCTTACTAAGGGGGATGCTAGGAGTTTAGACTAGACTTGATAGAATCCCTATGTAACATATAGCCTTATTCCCTACGAAGCGCCAGTAAGTTTACCCAATGTGACTAGTTGCTAGAAGGTCTTGCACCACCCTAAGGAAGAGGCGGGCGGGGGCTAGTAATTACTCTGTCGCTGATGCTGGAGGGTGGAGCAGTAAATGGAGGCTACTAGATTACTGGCGGCTACTGGTGCTTATGGGGAAGTAACACAAACAGGAGTTTCTTATATTCATTGCTTTATTATGAACGTTAAAGTGGGAACCTACTCTGTCATTTAGTCTTTAGGGTTGCTGGTTCCTGAGGGGGGTGGGGAAGTGAATATACTGACCATAGGTGACTAGATAGGGGCAATTAAGGGGATCCATTCCTTAAACACTAGCAAGTTTCAGGAATCTTTCTGGGAGCACAGCTCATGTCCCTAAACCCTAAACCCTAAAAGTAGGGCTTCAACTCCCCCGGAACCCCGACAAGGTCCCTTTAGAGAACTGTCCTTCCAAAAGATGCCTCTGGATTTTCCTATCAGTTATTGGGACGATGGGTCTGGGTCTTACTGTCAAAAGGTCTGGATTGAGGCTTTCTGGCTTCAGGGCTGGAGATTGTAGAGTTGTCAGTGGAGGGGGGGCTTTATCGAGTTTGGGAGTCAAAGGCTTCAGTGTTGTACCCGTAGAGTTGTACCCCTGGGTTTCAGGATCCTGTTAAGCGACCCGAAGGGCGTAAATGGGTTCATACAAGGGCAAATATTGAGGACCTATTTGGGGAAGCCTTTGTTGGCGAAGTTTCAGGGTATGACCTTAGGGGTACAAGCCTGGAACCCTTGAGGGAATATCACTAATGTACAGAGCCAGGAGAGTATGTGGCATGGGCCTTGCAAAAGGATTTTGTCAGAGTGTTAGAGATTCGCGTGGAACATCGCGCGCCCAAGCCCGAATGCTCATGGGTTTCAGTGATCAAGGGTTATGCGTCGAATGGGAAACTGCCCACATCATGGAGGGAGGGAGTCTTTTGTCCTTGAGGGGCCCAGTCACTTCAGGCTTAACGGCTTCATGCATTCCCAGAACTTTGAAGGAATCCACCAGTCCTCATAGATAATGTAGACCCCTGATTAATAAACCCCCTCCTCTTAATAGAGATTGAAGCTTTCCAGCCTAGCAGTCTCCATATATCATTCTGACCAGGAAAGTCCCTGTCTCTACCGTCCATAAGATTCCCTTCTTTTCCGGTCTTATGGGATTCGATAATGCACTCCCCTTTCTCCTATCCACAACAAAGACTACCCATACTTCTGGGGGGAGCTAAGGAGCTAGGGATAGTCCATATCAGTATAATAAGGGGAGCTAAAGAGCCCAGGAATCTCCAAAACCATAGGGGAGAAGAACCAATGAGGTTTCACTGGGTCGCATGTAGGTGTCATCCTGGGGAGCGGTAGGCTTTAACTCCTGAACCATATGAGCTATAGTCTAAACTCTTTATTGGGGGGCTATATAGGGGATTATATAGGGGACTACCATAGGGGTTATTAAGGGGGATACTAGGAGTTTAGACTATAGCTCATATGGCCATCAGCATCGCCTGCTCCATTCGTCATTTTAAGCCAATGTCTCCCTTTGATCAGTCTGCAGGGTTTGGGGATGTTAGGGGTAGTTCAGGGCCGAGTGTTTAGGGGTTCAGGGCTTCCGCTCCAAGAGTTTACGGCTTTGTTTACATGATTGCCCAACTTGGAGGTTCTGTGTAATCATAGCCCAGTTATAAGTTATAAGGCCCCTAAGTCCCCTAATATGGTTATAACTACATAGTAACGAGTTCTTAGAGCTTAGAGCATTTTGGTTGATGTTTACCGCGAAACGTCGAAGACTCTAAGTGGTGGTAGGACGGACTGCTATCGCTACAAGTAGGGCCCAGACAGTCTGTAGCCTACAGCGCAGGACCCCGCCGTGGCTGAAGATCCTGCTGATGCCGAGGCCGAGGTGCCCACTGTTGAGCTCTCTTCGGCCACGAAGGGCGAGCCTGCAATGGAGGGCGCAGGTGGCGCGGCAGGTGTGATTTCTGATGCTCCCGAAGGTGAAGCCGAGGCCGAGGCCGCTCCCGAAGCCGAAGCTGAGGCTCCTGAGGCCGCAGAGGCCGCAGAAGAGGAAGAAGAGGCTCCGGAGGAGCCTGTTCCAGCCAGCCACGCTGGCCACGCTGGCCATGCCAGCCAGGCAGGCCACGCTGCTCGCGCAGGCCATGCAGGCCACGCAGGCCATGCTGGTCAGGGCAAGTGGGCAGAGCTCCACAAGCAGGGCGCAGCAGGCGCCGGCAAGAATGTCGACTTTGCTGGCAAGCATGGCGGCAAGTCGGCTGGCAAGTGGGCTGGCAAGGCCAAACGTGCGAACGCAACAGAGACTGATGCCGTGGCTGTGATGATCGAGAGGTTCTTGAACAAGAAGGCCCCGCCCAAGAACGAGGCGGTGTCAGACCATGCACCCCTGGTCTTCATGCATCAGCACAGGGCAGGCGGCACCACTATGCGAAAGCTGCTCTACAACATGTCAGTGAACCTGAAGCTGAATCCCCACATCATGTGCTCAGGTGGGCTCAGGGTGGCGCCCCCTAGTTACATAATCATGCGAATATCTTTCGATTGCCGAGTATCATTTAGTTCCTGAGTTCCTGCCCAAGTTTAGCCCAGGGGCCAGTCCATAGAGCTGCCGAGAATGGCCATGAGTAAAAATCTCCGGCAATGAGAAGGGTTTTGGGATGGCCCCAAATCTTACAGCGGGTGACTGGAAGTTCCCTGAAGTTTGCTTTTTTTCTAATTACCAGGGCTCCAGGGAACTTGGGTGACTTCCATGCTTGGTATACGCATCGCCCAATATCTTCTAGGGCTGTCTGGATCTTGATGAAGATCTATCCATCATCCCTGGAAGGATCTTTGAAAGCCCCCTCACAGGTGAGCAGCATTTTACTTGGAACCGTACTGGTCACTAGAGAAAGACTATACTCTCCTTTTGTGTGTAGTACCTTACAAGAAGTTGATCAGCTTACTTGCTCCAACCACCAAGACATCACCCCTGAGGTGGAGTTTCTTGCAGGGAGTTCAAGAACACTGGTGATGAGAAAGCCGCGGTCTACGGGGGGCAGTTCTGCTGGAGGGAGCTCCTCGGCTATCCGCAGTTTGGGCGGGATGTTGGGGTGGGAGGGGGCTTCAAGAGGCAGGAGCCCATTCTCAGGGATCCTCCGAAAGAGGAGCTCAAGCAATCTTAGGATACATGGGGGGTTCCCTAATATTAGGGGTACTATTTTGGGGGGTCCTGATGATAAGGTGATTCGTATTTTGGGGTCTATATTGGGGCCCCCCTATTTTGGGAAACTACCACATCTACATATGTATAGGGACCTTAGCTCGGGACACCCCCCCCGCCAGCTCGGGGAGACACCCATTCAGAGACGGAGTTTACGATTGAGAAATTTGTTGCAGGCCTATTTCATGATGCGCCTAGGACATTGTCAGTACGTAGTGAACATACTAACGCTAGTAGACAGTTCTGTGCACTTGCGACCCCTCTACTCTGAGTAGTATACGCCCTGGGACCCTAAACATGGAACCCTAAACAGCGCAAAGCGCTAAACCCAGTATCATCTAAGCCCAAAACATCCATAAATCATACATCCCGAGCCCTAAGTCTGACACCTGACGTTTTTAAGACCCTAAACCCTAAACGCAACAAGCCCAGGCTCATGGGCAGCCTGCCCGAGAAGAAGGTGGGCATTCTGAACACTCTGGGTTCCCATAAGCTTGGGGTTTAGCGTTCAAGGAATTTTCTTAAGCTCTCTAGCCCAATCCCGGAATCTCTGCAAAGCACATTTCACTTCTTACCTAAGCCCCTTGTACAGTATGCCAAAGAAGGTCTCTTGCTTGACCAGCTTTCGCGAACCTTTGGCTCGCATCCAGTCTTGCAACTCGGCCATGGATTGAAGGTCTGGGCTTAGGCATAGTTTGGGTACTGCCCGCACTCATTTGAAGAATCTTCATAGTGAAATTATATAGAACTTTTACTATGACCCCTCGTATAGACTGTTAATGGGTGGGGGCAGGATCCAAGGCATGGTTAAGTTTCATTACAGGTTTTAGGTTTCCCCAAAAAGCCTGCTGGGCGCTTAGCTAGGACCTTAGACCCTTAAACTTTTGAGGTTCCCCTCT